AAGATTCTCTACTACGACTACGTCGGTCACGACAAACGTCATTGCTTTCTTTGTTAGCCATCGGTCACTCATTGGTCAAGCCATTGGTCGCAGAATTCAAAGACAATCAAAATCAGAATAAAGTAACAATATAATTCTATGGTATTACCTCTTTTCGACGGCATTAAGGCGAGAATAGGTCTCTAATACTAATCCTCTCCAGGCAAGGCACGCTGCCTGTCCACAAAACAATACCCCTGACCCCCAGGCCTCATTTCCCATACCCCCTGGCCTTTTTACCCGATACCTGGCATCTTAACCCGGGATTACCCTTCCTAAACTGACCACTGACCACAGTTTGAGATTCCATAAGATAACATTAACCGCAAATTCTGCATGCCGATGAATAGACGATGTCTCTATGTGAACCATGTTTGGTTAGTCTTGCTATTGAACTCGACACGCATCTCATTACCACCCCAGCAGGGGCCTAGACCCCTATAATAGAGTATGGTAAGATCCTATTATGTGGTCAGTGCATGGTCAAGGTAATCCGGCCCACTGGACACCTTGTATGTAACGTATAGACCACCTGGGGAGAGGGTATCTTCAAGTCATGTTGGACAGTAGGCAATGGCCTCTTTGCATGTTAGGGATAAATTGTAAGTCAGTGGCCATACGGGAGAGTCAATGTTATAGTGTTTATGATCTATGCGAGATAATACATAGTTGACGTTGTTATATGAACTTGGAAGTTATCTACAGGCCTGACTTAATGGGTGATATGGAGATCCATCGACATTCATGAGCTGTTGGTAATAAAGAGTGAGTGAGTATGGTTTTCCGCCGCTTTTAGCAATATTCCAGCAATATCACAGCGGGAGACACTAGAAATGGACTTCACACATTGTACCCATGTCGGGATTCGAACCCGGGTCTTCGGCGTGACGAGCGAACGCTTTAACCACTAGGCTACCCGACCGCCCCTGGTAATAAAGAGCAAACCATATGAATTTACCGACGCGTACATCGTGCAAAGATGCAATATATTTCAGTTATGGGCAGATTTCAAAGAGGAATGTTAAAAACGGCTTAATCTCTTCCACTGCATAAATAATATACGTATAAGAACTTTGATAACGAAGAAGTTAATGGGTACCCGTAAGACGTATTCATTATTCAGACCAAAGAGAGGCCGATATTTAAATAGAGTGTACTCTCCTTCTATCAATGAATGAATTCAAGAATATGTGACCTTGGGCTGTTTATCACCGTCACCATCATCATAATTATCGCTGTTGTCACTATAATGATTATTATCACCGTCGTCATCATCATTATGATTATTTTCATTATTGTGTTGTTGATACCATCAACAATTTCATCATGAATAATAATATTCATTTTCACTATCATTCACGTTGCATCCGAATATCAGTGTTGTGAGAAACTATACCTTCCGAGGCTCGAGGCAATGACACAGCTTGGTAAATAGTACTTACAATGACATCACCCCACTGTGGACCTCGTTACAGGGGTGACAGGTGAAGGGGGGGAATTAGCAACAGTGTTACACCTTGATAATTATCTGTATTTAGAATAAGTAACTGTTACCTACGTGACAACTCGACAGGATGACCGTCAGACGTAATCCTGGAATACTGTCATCGCGTCTGAGTGGTTTGCCTTTAGATAAGATAAGACACAATGATAACAGGGTCGCGGATAACGACATCGTCTGCATCAACGTGAGTTACAGCATCTGGACAGTGATGACCAACAGCGACATCCCCGGGGAGGTGCTGACCGATGACCAGCGTAATCTTTGATTTGAGGGACACTCGGCCGACAAGTGTCTCTTGATAAGCCATTTCAGCCTCCAGGCGCAAGGGGAAAATGACATCGGATTGGCGACTGTATTTCAATACCGTTATATCAGGCGAGGCTCGGTTTTATAGCAGTAAATTCGAAAATAATTACCACTGAGATTTATTTTTTCACAGCTGATGCTGCAACTCAGAGATGAGGTTCTGGTTTGTCAATCACCACGATGCTGAAGTACTGCATCCGAAATAAATATTGAACAAAACAGTAAGGACATAAACATAAACATAAACATAAACTTATATACGTTACGCGGCCATTACATCCCTGTCAATTGCCCAGCGCTGGATATAGACAGAACCAGATCGAAGAGTTGTCTATCCTAACGCGTGTTTTATTCAGAACATATCGAAGCCCAGGCAACATCTCAGAAATTCACTCTTCTTGGTTGGCGTCAATCATAATCATGTCAAATTCCCTTTCATCGACAGACATACGTCTGTATATACGCTATAATTTTAGTGTTAAGAGTATTACTGGCTTCCTTGAGGTCGTGAAGTCTATGATGGTGGTCAAAGTGGAATTGTTCTCTGCATGGTTACAATCAAATTAACGCGAAATTGATGACCTTCTACATCGGAAGTAGAAACCCAGAACAACCAACCGTCTTCATCTGGTCAAGGGGCTGTGAAATGACCCATCTGCCTATGGCCATAGTACGATAAAGTAACCCGAAGCTCAAGTAGTGAAATGGCCCCATTACGTCCGTCCATCTAGAGGCCAATCTTCATAGGATCTGGATATTCCTTTTATGATTGACAGGATCCGGTGGACATATTTATGACCCATTCAGTTTTGAAAGTATTGAAACGAGAACATGTTGACGCCGGCATAAAACGGCGAGTTATAGCTAATTAAGAGATGTTTGGTCTCGAAAATTACACCCTTCCGTTTGTCCCATATGCAGGTGGACAAAATATTATTGTTCGAGCCTCCGAGGTCAGTGGTCATCAAAGTCCACTCTAAATCTCACTAAGGGTCAGCTGGTCAGACTACAGAGGCAGGAAAGGCCTATGAAAGAGACGTGTGATTTACATTATCCTCCCAAAACGAGCTCTTGTCACCTGGCAAGCAATCGACACGCACTTGACATGATTGAAGTTTTCTTAGTTATTGTTGAAATGCGAATTGGAAGTGATTAGATGCAATCACTGCGTTTTGACACTCCGTTTCACGTTTTTATTCAAAGGTTTATTGAAATGAAACGTGTTACACATAAAATATTTAACTAACATTTGATTTATTAACAGAATTGAAACATTTAGAAGAATTATCAATTATTGATATAGTCGGAAACGCAACGTACAGGGTATCGTTTTTCAAACTTAAATCGATCGTTATTTGATGTGATCGCATTAAAATGTCCTAATTGTTGTCTTTATTATTGAACATCTTCAAATTGTGATACTTCTACTAATATCGATTTATGAGAAAACACAAATGCTTTATATATTGGTATAATCTTGACTTAGGACCATAGTTCATTCGTCAAGATCATGATAGCAGTTAAAACCATATCGAAACATTAACGAATCTACATTATGTATTAGAGAGCGTGTCATTAAAAGCAATTCAATACGTATGAAAATGAATAGCACAAATGTATAATATATTTTGGTTCATATATATGACATAACAAGATGCATTATTATGCAGACTATTTCATCAGCGCACACATCCTACCCTATATTAATCGAGAACGTCAACAGCATGGTTATTAGGTATACGGTATCATACATAGTCTCTCATAATATTATCACTGAATACCACACACCATTCCGCTGGCAACATGTTATGAAATTCATCATTTTCGAAATGCCATACATGCCCAGTAAACGACACAAAAACATCTGATCACCCACATGCTCCCTGTTTGCTTGTAAATTCCATCCTCAGCAACTTAAGACCTGATAGTGTCTGTGACAGATCATACCGACTCTGACATTGACAGCATAGTCTTAAAACGTCAGCCGCAGAACAATGGTATGCAAAGCGGAAAATCGCCATGTAGGTTTTAAGTATTTATGCCATTTTGATCCCGGTGAAGACATAGCTTTGAATCACCAATAAAGTCAGTGTTATTCATCGCCTCCCTGAGTACCATCATCCTATGATCCATCCCTGTTTAAAGTTTTTTGAGGTACAATGGCGAACATAGCCATACTGGTGCAAACATCTCAATCTTCAACGCGTTAATATTTGGGTCGATAGAATAACAAGAGCGTGAAAATTGTACAATAAAACAAAACACTTTGTAGACGCGTTCACAACGGTGTGTTAATTGTCCATGTTTTGTTGTGCACACACAACGGAATTCCTGTTAAGAGTGCTTCAAGGAAAAGGAACCGATCGACCATCAGGCTTATAATTGCATGGGATTTGACTTCATAAGAAGTATCTCTGTTGTAATCAATATGGTTCTCTACCTAAGTCCCCAACCTCTTTGTTTAGTCTATCAGCGTTCTTACAAAGGCTCGAATATCCCCCAGATCCCCAGTTGACGGGAAAATGCTTCGCGGAAGTTACCCAGAGTTTATGTAATAGCTGGTGTCTGTTAACTTTCAGATAAGAGTTTTCATAATGTTTCCGGCTGATTCAATCACGCAAAAGATATACCAGTGCGAACTTCCGTTAAAGGGAAACAAAGTGTAAATAAAAACGCTAAACGTCTAATCATGATAAAACACACGGAAATAACCTTTAAAAAAGGTTGTGAGATAACAGGCTTGTTTCTTTAACATGAAAGATCTTATGTCAGTTTTGTTAATACATGCGTTATAAAAAAAACGCTATTCCTGCTTCTAATGTAATGTGTTAAAAGGTTTGTTTATTTTCATATCGAAATCGTAAATCGTTTCCGTTTAGCGTCTATTGTCCATCGCGCATGCTTAATGCTAAGAATTGATTATACAGCAAATCTAACGCGGCAGGTAGATTTATCAGGTGAAGGCATTGTGGTTGCACCTGTCTGACAGAAACCTGACACCGGGGAGATGTGATGTTACCTCACATCTTAATAAACACAAATCTCCAATACAAAGGCAGAATCGTATGTGATGTTCCATCCCACACATCATCAATCGTAATAGCGTTAAGTCTGTACAGGTGAGATAGGTGTTGATCAAAGGCACACTCACCTCAATATCAGCAGAAGCCAGTAACATACACTGTTTCCAGGTATGACAGCGTCCAGTGAAGAAATATATTATACTAGTCCTTTTTGAGTATTTCCTTTCACCACAGCTTCACGTAGTTAATCCTTTCTATCGGTATATCACTCTTCCGCAGTCGAACCAGCGAAGACACAACGGCTGGAATCGCATCAATTTTGCTTTCATCGCCGGGCCCTCTACACGATCGGCGTCTCGATATGACTGAGCTATCGATTGTACAAGCGCACAGTGAACAGAGAGCCAAACAACGGGTTTCCTACAAACTGGAGCCCTTCACTAGCCACATGGTGCAGGCTTCAATACGGAGGCCTACAAACTGATTTGCCTAGCTTCGCTTCACTTGGTTAGCTGGCTCGCGGGGGTAATATCCCTCGTCACGTGACCCGCCCGCTGCCTCCATTCTTGCCTCTTCACACTGGGGTATAGCGGGGATTATTTCGTTTCGGATGCTTCGCGGTTAGACTTCACATTTACCCGTATATAACTATTGATGTCGAGTTTGCAGCATTGGGTTGTGTCGCGTGGATGTCTTACGAAACAAAAGGATCACAAAACGGTAAAAGCGTTATATTCCGGAAGGGTAAACTGAGGAAGATTTCGGTGATCCCCCTCCTCGACCAGACGCTGGGGCAGATAAGGGGGAGGGGTGAAGCAGTCAGGGTGTCTGGCAATTTTACAGCGTAATTACCGTGAAGAAAACTATTAAAATGTTTATCGTCCATGCACAGGAACCCACTCTATGTCGTAATTAATATAAATGTTTCTGAGCGGTGTTCTGTAGTCCTGTGTTGTTAAGCGGCTGCCGCGTTTAAAAGTGTTGTCTTTTGTTCAAAGGGCGTTTACATTGTCCTCGTCGGAAAATTAGCAAATAAAAAATCCTTGATTGAAGATATTAAGATATTTGTCGAGTGAAATGAAACGGTACAAAAGCGTAACGTGGCAGGTTGTCTGGTTGCAGTGCTACTGACGTGACGATAATATGTTGTAGCATCAATTATCATCTGTTTATTTTCATCACAGAGACGTGATTATTCAATTTCCGAATGTAAAGCCATTTGGCAGACAAAGAACGCGGCCCTGTCATTGTTCAGAGAAAAGTAGTCATATTTTGTAAAAGTGTTCATAAAGAGATAATTTCTTCAAAAGTTCGCGGTGTAATTTGGTTAGGACAAGGGCCTGGTTAGGACGACAATGGCAATTATATTAGATTTGTTCATTGTAATGACTATATAACGATGTTTTCGATTAGCACGTGTCGATCGTCAGGTTTTATTCCTAATCTGTCCATCAGCCTCGACTGTTAATTTCCATTTTTCCATGCTCTATCATCCATCCATCCATCCATCACAGTGCATCCATCCCTACTACTTAAATATTTATGTCTCCAGCATCTTGCTATCTGTCTAATCCATTCATCTATCCAAAAATCAGCCACCTATCCCTTACCCAAAACCCACCCATCCACCCATCCATCCTACTCATCCATTCACACACACGTCCACCCACCTACCTACCTACCTACCAACCACTCATCTATCCATCCATTTAGCTAACTCGTCATTCTATTATCACTGTATATATCAATATTCTCTCTATCACTGTACATGTACCTGTCATCCATCCAGTCCATCAGCTATCTATCTCGTCGAACTATACATTGTATATATCAACGGTATGTCTACTCATATCTACATTGTATATATCAACGGTATGTCTACTCATATCTACATTGTATATATCAACGGTATGTCTACTCATATCTACATTGTATATATCAACGGTATGTCTACTCATATCTACATTGTATATATCAACGGTATGTCTACTCATATCTACATTGTGTATATCAACGGTATGTCTACTCATATCTACATTGTATATATCAACGGTCCGTCTACTCATATCTACATTGTATATATCAACGGTATGTCTACTCATATCTACATTGTATATATCAACGGTATATCTACTCATATCTACATTGTATATATCAACAGTATGTCTACTCATATCTACATTGTATATATCAACGGTATGTCTACAAACATCTACATTATATATATCAACGGTATATCTACAAACATCTACATTGTATATATCAACGGTATATCTACAAACATCTACATTGTATATATCAACGGTATATCTACAAACATCTTCATTGTATATATCAACGGTATAGCTACAGACATCTACATTGTATATATCAACGGTATATCTACGGACATCTACATTGCATATATATCAACGGTATATCTACAAAACATCTACATTGTAGATATCAACGGTATATCTACTAACATCTACATTGTATATATCAACGGTATATCTACAAACATCTACATTGTAGATATCAACGGTATATCTAAGAGCATCTACAAACTGTAAATTTTACTGGTATATCTATGGTCTCCTTTTTAAGCCAGTTATATAAATCTATATGTTATCTATCTACATCGCGTATTTTAAGCTATCTACATCACTTTGTGCAAGTATATGTACAGAGTTGTTTGGATAGAAACAGGCACGTTCAGAGATCTTTAAAGTCCATGCTATCTGTAATGCAATAAGACACAGCTACATGGATTATAATTCAACATATATTGTACGTATTCAAGATACAGCCGTCTCCACACACGTAGTATTGACAAGTATTGTAAAGAGTGAGTGAGTGAGTAGGATTTAACGCCGCTTTTAAAAGTATTCCAGTAATATCGCGGCGTGTCAGCTTAATATGGAAGGAAAGCCCGAAGTCATGCAGGTTTCAGACGTTTACCACTTCGGTGAAACCCATGATCTCGGGTATGGTGCTGACAAACCTAGAAACATATTTGGGGCGAACCAGGATTCGAACCCACAGTCATAGGTTTCTGGCGTGCCCAAGGGACGCAAATCTGCACAGCGAATCGCGGCCCCTTAGACGACTGGGCCACCCGTGCCCACCAGTCTAGTAAAGACTTACTCCCAACATTAAACATATTTAATTACCAGTCAATATGTTCAATAAATTCAAACCCGTGAACACGCTTGCAACATTACACATTGGTAGATACAAAAGAGATATCACGTCGAGTCGCCATTGTGATTGAACTCGATCGAAACAACATAAAATAATTCTTGAAAGTGTGTAGCCTCATTTCTCATTAGCGCACCATTATATCAACAAGCAAACACGTGCCCGAAACAGCTTTACACCGCCTAAATCGGATTTATTGGCTATAGTCGTGTCATAAAACCGCCGTAGGTATAAAATGATTGTAACAGGCAGAGCCAGTGTTTGTTTAATGTTTGTTTGTTATCATTTACCAGCGCGCCTCCACCCAACTATTTAACGTCACATAAATCGCTTCAGTGATTGGGAAAATATTTACCCCGTTGATTAAGGAGCTTGCACAAAGCCGGACGTGGATCGTTTTGTAGGGTTTAGCAAGAAAGTGGTTATTTCCCCAGGGTAAAACTTACAATCGCGTGTCTCTCATTAGCGTCATAAGAACTAGTCAGGTCGATCGATATAACAGTAAAAAGTGCCCCAATTAATTTATTTAAAAACTCGAAGTTTGACTTCTTCAAGTGTTTCTTAGTAAGATGTGACAGATCAGCTTGAGGTGATATGATGTACAAAACATCCCCCCTCCCTCAACGCCTTCACCCCCTAAATCCCCCCCCCCCCCCCCCCCCCCCCAATCGATGGATTACATGATTTAGGTTTTAATCTCCAAGGGATTAAGCTACCGTAAAGCGAGGTAAACACAGCCGTACCATGCAGAGGTGGCGATAGAGATATCCGTGAAAGAACACTAATGAATCGACAAAGATTGACGCACAGTATAAGGTGCAAAAATGACATTTTTGTCATGTGTGTCAATATTACTTGATCCCGCTGTTTGGAAAAAGAGTGTGAAGTTGATCACGTGACCTGACCCCCTGCGTTCTAACACAACCCTTCATGTCTGTAGATCTGGTGTGAAACCTTACAGCGTCGGCGCCGTGTCTGGCAAAGTAACAGACAACGTCGGCCATGGTGCGTTTCACCTACATAATTCATCATAATGCATTACGTTAAAAAGTTTAGAAAGTCCCATTGCATATGAATAATGGATAGAATGTCGGTTTAATACGCGTATGTGATGAGAAGTGTCTCAAACAGAAGTGAATTCACTTAATTCTTTCCTGTTGGTTACTAGTTAAATGTATTTAGTAGGAAAGTTACATTTGTCTGTGAATAAAGATAGTAACATCACCAAGTCTTATGAAATGTTGTATTATGTATTAAACACGTGTTCCAAAAATGAAATAATATAATTATAAGCCATAGTCAGACAGAGATCTGTGAATAATCGAATGAACGGGAATTCACCGTTTGGCTGTACAATGTTCTCGGAGCGTATGACTGCAACTCCAACGCTTCATATTTCAAAGCGTGTGATGACTTCATGTTAAATCTAAGAAGGGCCGATTACATCAATATATTTACATGTCTTTTGACGGAGTTTAATGTTGCCATGAAATGTTTCGGTATCAGCCAAAACTATAACATAAAAAAAAAATTAAAAATAGAATAGACTGTATGAAAGACGATATCGCCGTTTATACGCACCCTCTGTAATATTGTGGCCAAAAGGCGGAGGTACACGGTCCGAGATGGGATAACAAGCATGGGCGGATTGTCACGTCCCGGTAATTGGGTTCGTGTCGTTATGTCAAACGTACAGTTTAGTTTAGCGCAAGGGGAGATCTAGACTGAGGAACTGGATATCTCGTATTTGATTGACTGCAATGTACATCTCTGATACCGACACAGTTAAGCAAACTCGCGTCAGGGTGATAACACGTGTTGACGCAATGTGTTACCTAGTGTTTTTAAATCAATGCTGGTAACAATAATAATAACAACTGTCAGTGTTTTTGTGGAATAATAATTCTATTGTTATGGTAATGTAATTATACTTATAATTTTATGATAATGAATATTGCGTGGGCGTTGATGATGATGATGATGATGGTGATGGTGATGGTGATGTGATGGTGATGGTGATGATGATGATGAGGAGGAGGTGGAGGAGGAGATAAAACAGGGATAAGGATATTGATATTGCTGATGATGTCAAAATAATATAAATTGTGATGACATCAACAAATCCAAAATTGATAAAGAAAGTGACGCCGAGGTTAACGATGGTGTGATGGTAATAATACATATTGTACAAAAACACGGATAAATCAAACACATCATTCACCACATCTGGAATCAGGTTATGGCAGGGACATACATTTCAACAATGTCATCAATTTTCATCTCTCTGAGGAGAGGGATGTCATACATATCGTCCTGAAGCAGACCTTTACACAGAATCGGGACATTGCATAAGTTATCATACCATACGCATAATTACCATTACAAATAGATACGATTTAGCTGCAGCCCCTTTGACAGCAATAGTGATATCCTTA